GGGGACATTGTTATCAGAAGCGGACTGGTCAAGTTCACTGATGATGCCAAACTTTGGGGTAAGACGTCCATACCCAAGGGCAGTGCGGTGATCCAGGCTGAACTTGACAGGCTCAGAAAATGGGCAGGTGAAAACCTGATGGTGTTCAATACTGAAAAATGCAAGGTACTCCACCTTGGGAAGAAAAACCCATAGCATGCTTATAGGCTTGGCAGTGATATGCTTGCTAGCACCATGACCGAAAGGTACTTGGGGGCCATGACTGACCACAAGATGAATATGAGCCACCAATGTGATGCTGCTGCTGGTACAGTGAGCAAAACTCTGGCTTGCATCCATAGATGCTTCTCAAGCAAATCCCAGGATGTCATCCTCCTGCTGTACTTGTTCTTGGTGAGGCCACAGCTGCAGTACTGCATGTAATTCTGGGCTCCACAATTTAGAAAGGATGTGGAGATGCTTGAGAGAGTCCAGAGGAGAACCATGTGCATGATCAGAGGGTAGGAAAACAGGCCTTCTGATGAGAGGCTGAGAGCCATGGGACTCTTCAGCCTGGAAAAGCACAGGTTCAGGGGGAACCTGGTGGCTGCCTATAAGTATATAAGAGGCGTACATCAGGGTCTGGGGGAACACCTGTTCACTAGAGTGCCCCAAGTGATGACAAGGCCAAATGGTCACAAACTCTTCCAAGACCGTTTCAGGCTGGACATAAGGAAGAAATTCTTTACTGTCTGAGCCCCCAAGGCCTGGAACAGACTGCCACCAGAGGTGGTGCAAGCACCTACTCTGGACTCCTTTAAGAGACATTTGGATGTTTATCTTGCTGGGATCCTTTGACCCCAACTGACTTCCTGCCCCTGGGGTGGGGGGCTGGACTTGATGATCTTCCAAGGTCCCTTCGAGCCCTAATGTCTATTTAATCTATGTCTATGAATTCTGAAAGGAATCTCAGCTTACAGTCTACTTTCTCCTATAGAAAGACCTGCAACTTCTGCAGATGGATCCCTGGCTCAAGGATTGGACTCACCTCAAGACTCATCCATGAGTGGTGATAGAGATCATCATAGAATCAAGAGATTGCTGCTGCTGCCACTGCTGCCAAAAGTGGTACATCAGTCATCTCTTTCCCCTCAACTGGGATCTTCCACAGAGGCCTATACACTTCTACTCCTTCAGCCAGTTGCTTGAAAGTCAACCTTTAACAGGAGCTAACTACTGACTTCTATCCACCTTGGTAGCTTTTTTCCATCCATCCATGCATCTTCATTCCTTCATTCTATCCACTCTCCTGCAGGAGCCACCCCAAAGCCTGTATGCTCACTTTTGTTTTGCACTCTATAGCTGATGGGTCACAGGTGCACTTTTGCTCAACTCTTTGTACAGAGCCAGACAACAGGAAATAATTTGTATCCATATGACAAAACCAAGAATTATGAGAATTAAAGGCCTGTGCAGTACTTTGAACAATTTAAAATGCAACATACTAGTACCAAAGAGTACATAACTGATATAGATTGAAGAAACAGAGAACAACTTCATAAATTGGGGAGTAAGGAAACTATTCTGCAGGTAATTCTTTCTGAGGTGCCACTAGGAACTGTGAGTAATAAGGAAGTCTAGTACCAATTGTCACAAACTATTTGAATTCAGCATAATGAAGGAAGAGTTTACAGAACATTATAATACAAGGATATTAGGTTTCAGAAAAGCCAATTTGGGCAACCTGAGAAATCAAGTGAATGTGAGGCAATGTGTTTTCAGATAAGGGTGAGCAGATCCTAATGCATATTATAATGAAAGTCTGGAACACTTATTTCCTTTAGTCTACATTCCATTTGCGTATTTGGCACCCTAAACCACAGTATGCACCTGGATGAAAGGTCTCAATGGTGCTGTGAGAATGGCGGTAGTGACTCAGTGGATGACACTCTGAGTCATATCTGAGTTTATACTAAACTAGCTGAAACCTGCAAAACATTTGTGATTAAATTTTTATTGCAAAAGTATTTCTTTAAATACAGGAGTTTTAGTTATCCTTTGACCTGAATACTTTAACGGAATCAAAACTTCTCACCATCGAAAAGGCTACATAAAGATGTCCAGGTGTAAACACAGGTGTGGAAATATAAATACATATTTTGTCAAAGGTCTGCCCTTGTGACTTGTTCATAGTCATAGAATATCTGGAGAAGGTGGTGGGGATGGTGCACAGGGCGCTGGAAGCTCAAGCATGCTTGGGGAAGCTCGGCTGTGGCAGGCTTCCAGTGCCCTGTGCACTGTCCCCACTGTTATCTCTGGCTGCCAGCACACCCAGCGGCTCCCCTGCCATGTTCCCATGGAAGCCAGCCCATTCCCAGGTGGTCCTGGGTGCTGGGAAGACAGTGGGGACAGTGCACGGGGCACTGGAAGCCCACCAAGCCCAAACTTCCCTGAGTATGCCCAGGCTTCCAGCACCCCATGCACTGTTGCATCTTGTAGGTGCTGCCGACCCAGAGGCAGCTTCTGCGGGGAGGCTCCACTGAAGTAAAATAAAACAAAAAAGCGAGGAGCCTGATTTCCGCCCCCCGCTGGAGCCTGCATGCATCTCCCATGGCTGGGAAGTGAGGTTCTAGCCGGTCATGTAGCCCCTGAGCTGTGGGGACCCTGGTGCTTCCCTCTGTGGTGACAGCACCCCCAGGGCACCACCCACCCACTGGCACCCCACCTGGGTGATCCCAGGGGGTGCTGCTACTGTGGAGGGAAGCACTGGGGCCCCCTGCAGCTCAGGGCTCACCCCCCTGGCTGCAGGAGAAGTGGGCAGCACAGGAACACTGCCTGGAGCACAGGGGCAGTAGCGATTTCCGATTACTGCCATGATCACAGTAGTGATCATGTAGCTGCCAACAGCAGTTATCCCCCACCCTCAAAAAAAGTTGGTGCCTAGGGCAGTTACCCCATTCGCCCTTCCCTAGTTATGCCACTGCTGGCCCTGCTTGGAGACTGCTCACCAACTTGGGCCCTTCCTGAGAATTCAGGGAGAGTTTAGATCTCAATTTGCTTTGCATCTGGAAAACAAAAGATTAAGAATGGAGCTCAGCACCTACTTGCTCAAATAGGCCTGTTTATGCATCTGTGCAGAAACCTAAATTTAGGTACTGAAGAAACTACAGTTAAAAATGTAGGCATTTTGTCAACTAAGGGGCTTTGTGGGCATTGGTTCAGGGTTATTATAAACCACTTTTTGAAACTCAGGGGCTAGGGACAGACATTCAAAAAGCCAGAGCCTGAATTGATTCAGTCTTTGCAGGTTAATCTAACCTGGCCAGCTCCAGCAGTAGCCTGAAGTGAATGGCTAGGGAGGGATTTGAATTCCCCCCTCCCTGTCCCACAGACCTGAGCCAGGGCTCACCTGGTGTTCCTCCCTTGCTGCCACAGTGGCAGGGGTGGGTACATGGCTCCCTGAGGCACGGGGGGGCAGGGAGGGGGTTTATTTTCCACTCTGCCCCTTGGGAACCGCAACCGGGTCTGCCAGCCCCAACCGTCACTGTCAATCGCTCCCTGCATGGGGCGAGCAGAGGGATAAGCCCTCTTCCTGCCCCCTCTGCCAGACAAAAGCCCCTTTTTATTTCTTCACTCTGTACTTTAGTTTAACATGTATTTAACTGTTCTTTCATCACATAAATGGTCAGATACACAAATAAGCAGTCTAGAAATGCATGCAATGGATAAAGTGCAAAAGTCTGTCTTGACTGATTTGGCCACCAAAACGTTTCTGTAGCCAAAAGCACACAAACACCATATTTAACTGCCGTAGACTGCAAAATGTAGATGACCTTGTACCTATTAATACAGGGGAGGGCAAAATGGTGGATCCAGCTGGCAGCCAGACTGTATTTCCCAGCAGCCCCTGCCCTCATGGCTGGGGCCAGTCTCCATGGAGTCCCCAGCTGTAGCTGCTCTGTGATGGGACAAGATCAGGGCAAGGCAAAGGGCTGCTCTGGAGCTGCCGGGATCTTGTGGTGGGGGCAGCTTGGTTCAGGGCCAGGGCAGAGCGGCGATCTGCAGGCTGCATGCTCCGGGCAGGGACATACAAGTAGCGGATTGCAGCTTTGTCCCAGCCCCTTGCAGTAGTGACAGTGTGGTCCCGAACTGGGGCAAAACCACGATTTGCTGCCTGCACGCCCCCACCCAGAGCATACAGGCTGCAGATCGTGGCTCTGCCCTGCCCCTGACCAGGCTGTCTCTGCTGCAAGGTTTTAGCGGCTCCAGAGTAGACCCCTGCCCTGCCCTCCTGCACACCCTGCCAGTGTGGGTGGGGCCAATCTCCATGGCAACCCCAGCCTTGTGCTATCACAGTGTAGCTGCACTAGGGTTGCCATGGAGACTGGCCCCAGCCATGTGGGCAGGGGCTGCTGGGAGACAGAGTTACTGCCAGCCTGATCTGGCCTGCAGGCTGGATTTTTCCCACCCCTGTGTTAACAACTAGGTGGATTTGGGGGTAGCCTTTTGCATAACTTTGAAGCAAAACTCACACTTATGCCTCTGGAGCTATAGCAAAATACCTTAATTGCTTTGCAACTATGGCTAATGGAGAAATGCATATATATCCCTCTGTGTAGTATTGAATATTAACAAAATGAGTATGAATCATCTTTTCCTTTTGTATAAAGCCAGAATAATTTTTTGTTTCTGTCTCAGTCAAGGTGATCAGTTTTGTTTCTCTGTAGATGTATCTCACTTATCCCGGCTCATTCTCTTATAAAGGGCTGAAAAAAGAAGTGTTTTAATTTCAGCATTCTGCGTAGGCATGCCTGAAACCCAGCAGAGCCTGCAGAATAGTGAAGTCAGTAGATGATTTGCTGAGATTCTGCCTGGTAAATTACTGTTTTTATGTCTACATTTGGAATAAACACCAGGGACCCGACAGTTTCTTTTGGACTTTTTGAATGATTAATGCCAGAAAAAAGAATCCACTGATGTAAACATTTATAAAGACCATTTTAAATATTGGAGCTAGAAGCCCAAACGTTATTTGTGGACCAGGTTTTAATACCAAGCATATGTGTTTGTGGGTGGGAGTCTTGAAACCTTCCGGAATATGCACATACACATTAAGTGTGCATAATACACTACTTTAAACTGGAAACATATAATTTCTCTCCCAATACCACATAGACTGGCATGTTGTAAAAAAGTAGTTGCCGGTGGCTAAGTTTTTCATATTACTATGTGGGAGGCAGTTACAGTCACAGGTTAGGCTTTTTCTTAAACATCCACACTACTGTGTAGAAAAAGCTGCCTATGTAGTACTGTGGAATAATCCAAAAGCTGAACTCCTGGTTTTACTGATTCTTTCCCATTTACTCTAAGTTTATAGTCTACACTTAAGATTATTGGGTTTGACTTGCACATTGGGAGATGTTTGTCCGCCATAATAAGGTAAAAGCAGGCATGCTAGAATTTCTAATGTCTGATTATTGGACCAGTAGATTATATGCAAATAAGATAATTTTCATGCAGAATCCCATTTTGCCAAATATGCGTTGCATATATAATTCTGTCAGCTTCATGTATAGGCGCTAAAACCTTTCAAATGTGCCTACAAGTATACCATGAAAGACAGCACAAATATATACCAATGTAAAGGTGTGGTCACACAAACAAAGACTGAATAGTCCATTTCAGCCACCATAAGTTGATGCTCCCCTTTGATGTTTATGAGAGCATAGTCTTTGAGGACTAACATCTGAACCACACATTTGCCTTTATGGAAAACAGGATCTTTTTCTCTTCTAAGTGATATGCATATACATCAGAGTCAACAAAGATGTACATGAAACCTATAAAGAAAAAGAATATGAATTTAACTAGCCCATAATTTTCATAGGATCTTTATGACTATGAAATTTATGTAACCAATGCAAGTGGAATAATAGGTATATTGGATCATGGGCAACTGGGCTCTGCCTAGCACTGATACAATACTCCATCAACTTATAGGAAGGCAGAGTAAAACAATAAACACCTCTGTGCACCTCTTATTCCTGCTTATGCTCTGTAGTAATGACTTATCTTTTTCCCCTTTGTAGTGTAACTAAGGGGGAATCAGTGGGAAGCCAACCTCAGGTGCCAATTTTAAATGGGTACAGGATTGATGGTGGCAGCCATCCCCAGTCCAGCCACCACTGCTGTCAGCCACCATAGAAACTTCTTGTTACACATCTGGATCTCTTGGCTTTAAGTGCAGCTTTAAGTGAAGGATTACAATATATCTGCTACTAAGTAAATTGTAACTAAAACCTTGTCTACCCTACACTAGTGTAGTGTAGAGTGTAAAACAGGTCTACACTATCTACCTAGCAATGCAGCTACACCGATAACTGGAATCCTAGGGTAGATTCCAGTTATCGGTGTAGCTTCATTGCTAGGTAGATAGTGTAGAGTACATGGTAGAGTGGCACAAATTATCTTGCAGTGGTGAAACCATCAGTGCTTCACTGTACAAGTCATGAATAAACTATTAGTTTGCAACAGCAATTGAAATCTCAAGAGAAACCAGGCCTAAAATTAAAAAGAACAATGGCTGGACTTGAGAAATGAAGTTTGAAGCAAGAGTTAAACTTTCCAAAAACTTGAGAGTTGTCCCCTCATATTCAGCATTTTGTTTTGATAAATAATTGTGTGGAAACCCAGCCACAGCCACCAGTCCACAGGTATATAGGACCATAATTTCAAGAGTCATAAAAGTAATAAAAGTAATTTACAAAAATAGCTTGTATTTGTCTAGATACTGTATGTAAGTCATTTAATTTGTTCTTCCAAGTGGAATTATATGTCTGACTAAGCCCTACTTTAAATATTTTATTTTGGTGTAGTATTGCATTTGTTACACACCTGCCCATTCAAAGGCGGCATTTACTGTACCATTGATTCCAGGGAAGCCATCTTGAATTGTTTTAGGGTATCCTGGTTCCATCATTTTGAGACCTTCATCAAAACTGAAAGAAAAATGCATGGTTTCAAGATTTCTCTTTATAGAAATAAAGCTACTCCTTTTGGAAAAATCTGATACTACTAGCAGGCAATAACTACTTTCATTACTGCCACATATTCACAGGTAAACAAAAGGAATCTCAGTCTCCAAGACATGCATGACTCAACACTGAGAACTAATTTTGAACTACAGAGAAGTAGGATTTTCCAGCTCAAACTTAGTTCTAGTCCAGAAAAATATGAGAGTACAAGCAAATCACCTCCTTTTACATTTCCTTGGTTACATTTGCCAGCTACAGTCATTCAAATTATTAGTAAATTCATAGCCTTTGTATCAGAACAGTGCCTAATAGCATAGTGTGCCAGACAGTCTTTAATCCATCCTCTGAATTTATATATTGCAGGGAATAACCATGCAGTGGCAAGCACTTGATTTCATAACTAGTCAGTCCTACTAACCTGCAAAGAATCATGCCTAAAAGGTGTGAAAAAGGCATTTGAAATAAGGCCTAAAACCCAAGTTGCAAACAAAACCTGATCCATGATTGATAAAGGTTCCCCAAGGTTTACCTACCTTTCTGCATACCTAGAACCTATTCTGAATGTTGCTTTTTTTTTTTTTAGATCTCAATTTAATTTTATGACTTTGAATGAATAGAGATGACTTAATCCTCATTACTCCTGTCAGAACACTCCAGACCTCCTAGGCTAAGTACAGGCATTCAAAAAGCCTTAGCCTAAATTGATTCATTCTTTGCAGCTTAGTCTAACCTGTGTAGATAGAACCAGCAAGCAAGTGAACAGACATTCACTTTTGATTCTGGGAATGCAGCCACATGCCTGCAGTGGCTCAGGCCAGCAGCCAGAGGCGCTAGAGTGAGCCCTCCCTTCCCTTCTGCAGTGGCTGGACTGGAGGGAAGCTGAGCTGAGGGACTGGGCTTGCCCAGCCCCCAGCAGGCCTGAGTATGATTGGGGAGGGATTTACACCCTCACCCTAGGCAGCAGGGACCCCAGCTGGGGTGTGCCTGGAGAGGGAGGGGGGAAGCAGCCCTTGGCAGTCTTTGCAGGAGGGAGGGAGCATGGCCAGACCCTGGCCCCTGCCAGACACTGGCCCTGCATGACCCCCTGAGGTGAAGGGGGGAGGGAGGGAGTTTATTTCCCCCTCCTTCCCCTCTCCCACTGGGCGACTGAAGCCAGGGTCTGCCTGGCCAGGGCATAGCAGCCCCTGTCAAGGGTGGGGGCATAACCAGACATTGGCCTGGCATGGCCCCCTGAGGTGAAGGGGGCAGGGAGAAGGTTTATTCTCCCCTCCCCTTTCCCACTGGGGGACCACAGCCCCAGCTGCCACCTCTACCACTTACCCCTTGCCAGCAGCCCCTGTCACGGTGTCCCAGGGAGTGCAAGACTCTTCCTGGTGGGGTGGCTGCACCGTGGGTAGGAGCGAGGCAGGCAGAGCTGTGACAGCCTGAACAGGGTAAGTGATGGTGGTGATTTTAAGAGAGGTTTGGGGGCTATGGCCACCCCAAAATTCAGCTTAGCCCCCATAACCACCCCTCCCATCCTTACCACCACCAGTGCTTGCCCCGCACAGGTTGTGGCAGTCTTGCCCACCCCGCTTCTGCCCACAGCACAGCCCTCTCCACCAGGAAGAGGCTTGTGCTCCCTAGGACACCATGTCAGAGTCTGCTGCCCCATCAGGGTCCCATCCCTTCACCACTCCAGTGGCAAGGGTGGGGGAATGGCCAGATGCTGGCCAGCATGGCCCCCTGAGGCAAAGGGGGCAGTGAGGTTTATTCCCCCTCACTCCTTTCTCCCCCTGGGGAACCCCAGCTGGGATCTGCCTGGCTGGGGGTGAATGGCAGAGCTGGCAGTCAGGGCTGGCTGACCCCGGCTGTGGTCCTCTGGGGAGAGAGGGAAGGGAGGGGGGAATACACCCCCTCCCTGCCTCCTTTGCCTCAGGGGGCTATTCTGGGCTGGCATCTGGCCATGCCATTACTCCTACCACTGGAGTGGCAAGGTGTGGGGGAGGGATCCTGACAGGGGCTGCTCCATCAGCCATCCTTTTTGGACTAGAAAGCACATCCCAGCCCAGGGCTGAAGAGCATGCTGGGATGCTGGGGGACTTTGATTTAACTTAAACTAGGAAGGGGTCTGGGACAGAACTTCCATAAACCACTTTGACCTCTGTCAGTTAAGTCTGATACTACATTCAACCAGGTTTATCTTAAAACCAGTTTTGGCTGTTTTGAAACTGGTTTATGTGCACTGAACTTCTGTTCTGTTACATGTTTAAACCAGTTTGTGATCATTTAAATCAGTTTATGTATAACTTCTGTCCCTCGCCCTAATGTAACACACCATTGTTCTCAACTAATAGCAAATGTTCTGAACTAATAGTGTTTGGAGAAGATGGTTTTGTAAAGGGTTTTGAGGTCAAATGGAAAATATGAATGGGTGCTATTAAGGCTGCAGTGCATGGTGGGTATGATAATGCAAAATTATGTGCCTTTGGGTGTCAGAGGAAAGACTATGCCGTATTAGGTGGATTAACGTCTCATTTCCTTATTTTGTGTTTTACAGGTGGGTGACTGTATTTAGCAACATCAACTACTTCACAGCAAAGTTTTCTGTATGTTCCCCATAATACTAGATTTGATTTTGCAGCTCTTCTACCTACGGGACTCAGTGAGGATAGGATGAGCAAATTTGTTCTTTTGTTTTAGTAAAACTATATTTTCCTACAAAAAATATGTAAAATGATGAGATTAATACCTCCAAAATTCATCTCCAACAAAGAAGAAAGTCGCCTTCTTCCTTTTTATGTAAACTGCAGCATCAATGTGAGTGACAGGGATAAAGAATCCGAGATCATAGATAGAATGCACTGATATTTCCATGGTCAAAGTATTCATTATCCAGTATTTCGAAGCTGAAAACAAAGCGATAAGTAGTTACTGTAAAGAACAATTTTGCATCCCACATATTACAAAAGTTAATTGCATTTTTGTCGTATTTCCTCTTATTCATACGATTTTTCTAATGGGCTCCTTTATTAGTCATATTTTCCTGCTGAACTCTATAAGAGTTTTACCATAGATTTCAATGGAACAATAAAAGACTAAATGCTAAATGTCTGTGAAAATTCTATCCCGCATCTCTCCACTTTGTGTTAGATTTCGAAAGGCTGACATGTCAGATTATTATTAGACAAATCACAGAAAAATAATGCCAGCAAATTAGTTGATTTAAATGTTTTTTTTGCATTTGTAATTCAAGCCAACCTTTTTTTATCCAGTATGGTTAGGAGGATAAGATTGCCTTTTAAATTTTGTGAAAGTTGAAGGGTTTTTCATGCAGACAGTTGGAAGGAGTTAATTTATGTGCATTAAATTCCTGGCTAAATTCTTGAACTTGAAAATATGGTGTTGGGATTGACAGAAACACTTTGGTATCAATTGGTCAGACATAATCCATGCTAGATTGAATGCTGGAATCTATAGTGGGAGAGAAGTAAGGGGTATAAAATTCAGTACATGCCATAGTTACCCTTCCCTCTTAGCATGCACACTCTGCCCCTGTGTGAGACAGGATTCTGGCCTAGATGGACCTAGGCCTGACCCAGTGAATGAAATTTTTTATGCTTTCATGTTCTTATTTCCATTTACTATTTGAAACAGTGTGGATGTCTCTAATAGAAATATCAAATTAATACAACATCTACCTCACCAATCCAAAACCTGCCTTTACCCAACAAAGATGCTCCTCCAGAGAAATAGACTTTTTTTTAAAGATCTCCTTGGGCAAACTTACTAAAATACAAGCACCCCCCCTTTGCCATGACTACACATCTCTGGCTGTCACTTAGCATCCCACACTGGAATCTATAAGAAATATTATCCAATGGTTATAACGGATTTTCAAAGGGTACATCTACATGTGTGCTTTAATGTGCAGTAGCCTAGTTTACTACTCGTTAGAGTGTCACAGCAAAAAACATGCTCATACGCTAATGCACAGTAAAATTAACTTATTAAGTGCACATTTAGTGTCACTAAAATGCACTTTTGCTATTGCACATGAACAATAGCAAATGTTGCTCTGAGAGCCACTCTAATTAAAGCACTGCCGCGTCTCATGGATTAGCATCCTCATGCTTAAAAATGGTGGTGGGGGCACTTGAACTAAAGCTCGTTCAATGAGCTTTAGTTCAAGTGCCTCTGCTGCCATTTTGAAGCATGGGGACACTGATTCAGAAGATGCAGGATGCTGCTGGAGCGCAGTAATTACCACGCTTAATGTATTGGAATTCCAGTGTGTTGGAGCAGCCTCTGTGCTCTTGTATAGCTGCCTTCACAGTAGAAGTGCTAAATTTATTGCATGGTAGCAAAAGCACATTAATGCATGTGGGGATGTACCCAGAGAAGATCACACCCTAAAAGAAAATTTCCTAAGCCTTCCTCACTCCAGTTCTCAAACAACCCCACAATCTTGCTAAATTTATCCGAAGCAACTCTTCACTCCCTGATGAACACTAAATGGAAGCAGACCTTGACAACACAATAAATGCAAAACGTGCAAACACTTCTCCACAGTTGCCATGATTCATGCCTTCCACAGCAAAACCATCAGAATTCAGGTACGTATTTCTATCACTATGTGTGATATCCCCGATTTAGTACACTAAATACCTTAATGAAAACTATGAGGGTGAAACCAAATCACCAGTACACTCCAACATGAAACCCCATGAAAAAAGAGAAAGGATAGAAATATCCTCTCACACTTCTCTTTTAAAGTGGTCAAATTCCTTAACATTATACAGTTAAAGCAAATGTTCCAGTTTGTATTGTGACTACTTCTTTCCCAGACCTGCTAAAGGGTGCCTGAACCCTGAAAACTTGTCTGTCTTCTGTGTCACTTGGTCCAAGAAAAGATATTACTCCATTTCACAAATCCTGCTTCTCTGGTATAAATTAAGCACAATATTCACCTGTGAAAAGACAAACTGTCTTTCTGTCTGGAATTTCATAAGCAGCATCGATTTTTGTTTGGAATTTTGGGAAGTAATTCTGATGGAATCCTTCCACGTTGCCTGCTACCCAGTACTTTCTGAGCCACATATACCTAAACATAAAAAATGCTTCTTTAACAAAATCAAACACACTTATAATTTCTTACACTTTATTCTGCCCAACTTCTGAGCACATCGTTCTGTTTGTGATGTTTTCCCTCAAATATCATTACCTTCAAGTGATAATAAGAATCTGTTTAAGTGTTACGACTTATCTACAGCTTTGAATCTTGGTTTGTTGCAGTTCAGGGTTTTATATTTCAAAGGAAAACTCGTGCACTTTTCCCCATATTTCAGAATCAAATACATTTGCAGCACGCTATTAGAAATTGTTAAAAAACATAAAATTTGCCTTCTTTTAAAGCTATCATACAGAGCATGAATGTATTTGTTATTGATTTCTGTGTAGAGGGATTTTTTTATGCCATTTCCAATTTCTCCTACTTCCTGCCTGTTAACACAAAAATTGCAGTCATATGGGAGAGACATCCACAGCCATCCAGAGAAAAGCTGACACTTCCAAGAGGCATCTCTTGATACTATCTTCAATTTTTAATCTTCTCCTTCATATATATATACATTCATACTATATATAATTAAACATAACAGAACACAACACTTAATAAAATGCACTGAATTGCTCCTTTTTTCAAGTTTGGGTAGGTGATGGACTAGACAATTTAAAGAAGTCATTTTCCAGCATCTCTGCTTGTATGAAATTCCTTACAGAGTGCTTCATTAGTAATGTGCTCTTCAAACATTTAAATGATACAGTCTGTGCAGCAACAGTAATAAGCTCTATAACAATGTACTGTGTACAATGAAGGTGGATACTTACCCATCCTTGATGAAAAGCAAGCCATTTCCCATACTAGTCACTGCATCAAAAGTTAGGGAGCTGTCACATTTCTCTGGAACGCTTCTCCCAAGTGAATTTTTACTTTCAGCACCTTCAGACAAAGCATATGCACATCTATTTATGTTCTATTTAAAGTAAAAATATGAAAACAAAGTTTGAAAATAAATAGATTCTATTATTCAGAAACATGATTACTGCCTTTTTACTAGAGCCTCTTTCAACTATATCTGCTTACCCTTTAAACTACATTTCCTAAGGAAACGTGGATACAAAGCCCATAATCAGTCAAATGATCACGTAAGGAAGACTGCTCCAGTGTAAAATCTGTAACTGGCCTAAATGGATATAATGAACTGTTATTACCCTTTGTATTAGACAATTCAGTGGTAACAATGCAATCAGCTTGAGATTAATTGAGGCTAATTGGAGAAACCGGATCTTCACACATCGATTATAAAAGAAAGAATAACAGGAGTTGAAAACATGGTGTCCATTTGTCTATTTAAAGTGTCATCATTGTCAATTCTGCCTTAGTGGGAAGTAGAGATAATCTTGGAAACCCAATAAAATAGCAATCTTTATAATGTTAGTGGTTGTAGTAATGAATGAGCATCTCCTAAATCAGTGGGGGCCCATGTTTTTGCAGGTGGGCCACAAATTAGCCCTGTGCCCTTCCCAAATGCCATTCTGATCCCCTTCCTCTACCTGATCTGCTACTCTGCTTTTTGCTCCCTACCCAATCTGCTGCTTTGTAGCCCACTTCTTCCCTAATCTGTCACGTGCCACACACACGGGCTGCTCATGCCACTTGTGGCACTCATGCTTCAGGTTGGCCACAGGTTAACAGGCAGCCCAAAGGCCCTGGTGGCTGCCTCTTCCACAGCTGTCTAACTGCTGTGTGGACTAGGGGTTCGTGCTATACCTGAGCAGCCTGTATGGGGGGTGGGTCTAGCAGCACAACCTAGACAGTTCAGGGAGTTCCCCGGGGAGCTTTCCCCACAGCATGGAGCCTGTGCAGTGTACAGTACCCAGATGTTCTGGAGCAGAACAGCCCTGTTCTAATTAGTTCCTAAAGGTATAAGCAGCAAACATGTCATCACAAGGTAACTGGAGTGTGAACTTAATGCATCATCTGTTCCACAGTAATTGACTGTGAACATGCTCTTTCCCTTGGTCAGAAAGATAAGTTTTGCAAATGTGTACACATGAACAGTTACTATGGAATGGCTGATGTGCTATAAATTCATGCCCTAGCTTATGTTATAAACTTTCTTGTGTGCCCATACTCTGCAAGAAGTCAGACTCACCACAGTATTTTGCACACAGCACATGAGATTCTACAGAACATTGCCAATATGAATTGACTAAATTCCTGGGGAACATATGTTTTGGAGCATTGTTAAGCTTACTTTATATTCCTTGTGTAAATAGGAACTAACAAGTCCAAAGGACATTGAAATATTCCAATTACAAATAAATTGCATAGTCATTGCACCTCCCTGCCTACCAAACATGGATTTAGCACCTATTCTCCATCATTTTTTCTTCAGATATATGTTGGTGTAGGTAGGCCAATAAAAAAGTGGTATAATGGATTGGAAGATTGAAGTCATTTACTCTTCACACACAAACTGTTTCAGTAGAACTTACCATACAATGACTGGATTGCTGTCCGATCATCATGTGAAAGTTGGAATCCTTTTGACTCAAAAAATTTATATTTTGGATACATAAGTGCATTTGGATCTTTGGAATGTCCCAATCCAAGAGAATGGCCAAATTCATGAGCCAAAACACTGAACAGGTCATATCCTAACAAAAAATAAATTCATTAGGTTAAATATGAAACTTGAAAGCACTGATTTCAGATTACATGAAAGGTTTTATATTCTACTGTTAAATATTAGATCAGTCTCCTGGGATTTACCATTATTATTGGCATGTATGAATGAATGTAATTATGTTAAGCCCAGAAGGGACCATCTGGATATCTGACTTCTATAATATAGTATATTGAGCAATACTGACTAACTGGGGGATCAATTCTATACATTTTATTTGAAATGAAGCATTACTTCCAGAAAGCTATCCAGCCTTGATTTATAGACAATGAACTGGAGAATATACCACATCCCTTGGTATTTTGTTCAAATAGTTAATCAAACGTGTGCTAAAACTTTGTGCCTTATTTTAAGTCTGATATCTTTTCTCTGAATTTCTGACTAGTAGTCAGTCTGATAGACAAACTTTGCAGGTTCTTGGGTCACCCAAAACATTTTTGTATGCATTTCCTGTGAAAAAATAAAATTGGTTCCTAAGCATTTGATAGTAATTCCATTCCTGTGTGGAAAATAGGCTGGATATACATCAATCATAAATAGTTTAGAGAAAATATGTAGCCTTATTGAAGGCCTGGACACATGACATATTTGCACTTTTGTAACTGACCTTTACACCGACGTAAACAAAGAACAGTGTGATGATGTAAACCTCTGCACTGGGTAACATCACTCAATCCAGTGCAGAATTACCCCTGGAAGACTCATGGGTATGTGTCTGCCCTTACTGTGAAGCAGCCATTTTCTGAGTGTAAATGAGCTTCTTTTGGTTCCTCTGCTACCTAAGGATGAGATTCAGTAATAGCAGTCTAACAGTGTACTGCACTGGAATAATCTGCTCATCTATCTGCTCCAGACACCCATATAATCTATGTCACCAGTATAAATGACACCAGTGTAAATATAATCCTATGTCCAAGCCCTAAATGAATGTAGGTGGACACAGAGGAAATTAAAATATTTTCAGTAAACAGCCATGAACCCATTTTTTTTCTATTTGGCTTATGTCCTAATAAAAAATCCTGAAGATTTTTTTGACAAGTAGAATACCATCATTTGTGGACAGATGAAAAGTTAAAGCATTTAATGTTAGTGCCTTACAGCTAATCCACTGTTACTGTTTTGTGTCCTCTATTTCACCACTCCGCTCTATTCTGTCTAAATAAAAATTAAAACACTATAACTTTAAACTTGTTTCACTACACTGGTATAGGAATAAACCAGTGATTCTCAGCCAGATTGCTGTGGCATGTAGGGATACTACAGGATCCTTTTAAGAGTGCCACAGGGTGTGGTTCAATATTTATATGGTTAGGTATGCAGATACCTATTCATGATTCACAATTCATGATAAACCAAAAGATTTCAAATAGGAATCCACAGTGTAAAAAATATTCTGATCTTCTGTGGTCTTTCTAAGCTCTTTGCAACAGAAGAATTGCTGTATCATTTTTCTGTAGTCAAAAAGCAAGTGGCAGCTAAAAGCTGGAATTTTCCAAGGGGTGCCTTGAGCCTAGTTGGGAGGACCTTGCCTCTAAAAGGTTAAAAACCACTGGAGTAAACTGATAAAAAGTTACATGTGTTTAGCAGAAGCACATCCCCAAGCAATAAGTCCCCTTGCTTTTAGAATAGTTTTGCATTAAATGTGGCTACAGCCTTTGCCTGGCATTTGGGAATGAACTAAAAAAAGCCTAGGATCTAAGATCAAGACTATTAACTAGAAATGCCTGATTGCCTATTGTTGGTTGTATAACCATTCTGGGATTCATCTGAGTGGAAAGACTCCACTTGTCCTTATTTGGTTTCGGATCATGGCCTTTCTGAGTTAATAAACCTAAAACAGTGCTTCTTTTTCCTGCAAAATGTTATCATGCTTTCATGCTTCATTAGAATGCAAAGGTCATTGAAAACTTCCTGGTTGCTGGTATATGCTACCGTTTCTGAAGGAAAACTACTTAATATTCACAATTGGTTGTGCTCACTTTTTAAAAATATTGGGTCCTGTAGTATGCTACAGGTCTCATGGGCTGCAACCTAGCTGCATGTGGTAAGAAAGTGATTGAAGGTCTGCTAGGGGGCGTGGGACAGCTGATGAGGATAATTAACTGGTCTAGAGGAGTTTAAAGTTCCCAGGGAAGAGAGCAGAGAAGGCTGAGAGGTGACAGCATTGAGACATGATACCCTCTCAGGGCCTGGCATAGATGGAGGGAGAAAATATTGGGGGCACTGAGTGAATGCATCAGCAGAAGAGCTACAACTCCCATTGTGCTCTGCATGGTGCGAGGTATGTGTGGTTAGCCTCTTCTTCCTCAGCCATGTGGAGCTGAGCACACATGGAGTGCTGGCCTGGCTGCATGCTGAGCAGCACCATGGTGCTACTGCTGTCACCAGCTGCCACAAAATTAGTTTGGGGGGCTAAGCTCACCAAGCCCTGGCCTTCTGCTGCCTATGGGGCCTGGGAAAGACTTCTGGGTGTGAATTAACCCTTTATTGTTTATGTATTTATTTGGTTTCTGTTTGATGGTATATACTGTGTTCCGGGGGGCAAATTTGCTCAGGGAAATAGACTGTGCTATATGAACTGACAACATACTAGATGTGGTGGGGAATTTAGGCAGCTAAGGTGGAGACAAGATCCCTGCTAAAATGGCTGGAGGGACTGCAGCAGCAACAGTTTCAGCATCTCCAACTACAGCAGCAGCAACTGAAGCAATTTCAAGGAGAGAAGCATCTGCAAAAGCAGGAGTTCCTGTGACAGCAGTGGGAATGCAGAAAAAATGCCACACGTGTTGGTGAGTCACTGGGAACCCTGAGGCTTGAGGGTGAAGGGCTTCCCAAGATGGGACTGGCTGATGACCCACAGGTGTTTCTTTTTATATTTGAGCAGGTGGCTGAAACCTATCAGTGGCCATGGGGTATGGGACTGTGAGGGTGCCCCCGCTACTAACTAGAGAGCCCCAGGTCATGTACTGAGTCCTGGGTATGGGTTTGGCCCAGGATTAGAAGACCCTCAAGGTGGCCATATTAGATTGGTTGGGTCTTCCAGAGGAAACCTATCACTGCAGATTTTGGTTGGAGACCTAGGACCCAAGTATCCGGCCCAGAATTTAAAAGATATAGTTTCTAGGGTCGGAAGGGACCTGAGTAGATCATCTAGTCCGACCCCCTGCCATGGCAGGAAAGAGTACTGGGGTCAAACGACCCCAGCAAGGTGTTCATCTAACCTCCTCTTAAAGACCCCCAGGGTAGGGGCCAGCACCACTTCGCTTGGAAGTTGGTTCCAGATCCTAGCTGCCCTGACCGTGAAGTAGCGCCTCCTGATATCTAGCCTGAATCTACCCTCTACCAGCTTGTGACTGTTATTCCTGGTCACTCCTGGCAGTGCTCGGGGGAACAGGGACTCCCCCAGTGCCTGCTGATCCCCCCTGACTAGTTTGTAACAGGCCACTAGATTCCCCCCTCAGCCTTCTCTTCTGAAGGCTGAACAGGTTCAGGACCCGTAGCCTCTCCTCATAAGGCCTGCCCTGCTGCCCCCTGATCATATGAGTGGCCCTCCTCTGGACCCTCTCCATGTTGTCCACATCCCTCTTGAAGTGCGGCGCCCAGAACTGGATGCAGTACTCCAGCTGCAGCATGACCAGTGCCGTATAGAGGGGGAGGATCACCTCCTTGGACCTGCTCAAAATGCATTTGTGGATGCATGACAAGGTACGGTTGGCCTTCCTGACTGTGGTGACCCCTGCCAATTCCCTCAGCACCCTGGGGTGGCAAGCATCTGGACCTGATGTTTTGAACACATGTAGCCCCTCCAGAAATTTCCTAACTTGGCCCTCCCTGACTCTGCCCACACCAGGCATATACAGCCACATACTTAGATGATGTAGTATTTGTAAACATAAGGGTGGACCACCTCCAAGCTGCCTATACACGTGTTATTCATATTCTAATTAGAATGCTTCAGCATGGCCTCACTGTCACCTGTATTAAGCTCTTGTGCATTCTAAAATAGCTACGGTGGCACTTTATCTCAGCTTTGTCAAAAGAGCTTTAGATAAACTATCCTACAGCCATTTTAAAACATGCAGGGCTTAAAACAAAGAATGATGAGCTATTTTAATTAGATTAGCTGTCTGGGAACTGCTGTAATTAAAACGCCTACTCCCAAGCATGTGTATGGACATCTGCAGTGACTAAGTGAAGTGTTGCAGTCTATACGTGCAGCTGGGCTCACAGCCAAACTGAGTAAATGTCACCTAGGATACGCAGAAAATAAATACCTAGGGTATATACTGGGCAGTGGGAAAATCAGGCTCCTGGTTGATAAGGTGAGGGCCTTGGTTGAGTTGCCAGTGCTAATGACAAGCAACTGAAGTCCTTTGTAGGCCTAGTGTGTTACTAAAGGTGATTCATCCCAGTTTGCCAACATTACAGCCCCATTAACAGACCTGTTGTGGAAAGGGGCAACACAAAGGTTCAGCTGTCACCCAAATGTGAGACAGAATTTGGAACTATAAAATGGCTACTGTGCAGCACACTAGTTTTGCATAGTCCAAACCTGACAAAAGAATTCATTGTACACACAGAGGCCTTGGAGTGAGGCCTGAGAGTGGTCTTTTCCCGCAAAATTGTGGAGATATAGAAAGTTTTATATCTGAGTAGAAAGCTCCTCCTCTGAGAGCAGAGGTATGTCATAATAGAGAAAGTGTTTAGCAATTAAATGGGCAGTAGACACCCATTTAATTACTACCTCTTAGGGGCTCATTTTCAGTTGGTTACTGAGCATGCCCTATTAACATGGTTTAATGTTATGAGGGAGGCTAACCCATGGCTGATAAGATGGTATCTTTCCTTACATACTTTGGACTTCTCAATACACCATTTCATGGGGTCGGCACATGCAAATGTGGACTCCTTTTCTCAAAAAAGGGTGGGGAATAAAGAAACAGAAGAGTGCTCCACTCTTGTGCAGGGAGTAGGGATGTGTAGCAGGCTTCAGGTCTCAGGGGCTTCAGCCTAGCTGCAGGTGGTAAGAAAGTGATTGCAAATCTGGCAAGTAGGACTAGGCCAGCTGATGAGGATAATTAGCTGTCCCAGAGGAAGCTAATTATAACCTCCCAGGGAAGAGAGCTGAGACAGCAAGAGGAGGCTAGAAGTGGCAGCATCAAGCCATGATGCTCTCCTAGGGTCTGGGAAAGACTGGAGGGTGTGAGTTAACCCTTTACTGCTTATGTATTTATTTGGTTGCTATTTGGTTTACGTTGTGTCCTGGGGGGGCACATTTCCTAGGGAAATAAAGACTGTGCTATATGAACTGATAACCCACTACAAGTACATTATTGGAATGGCTTAGCTTTCAATATTCTCACCAATCAGTTCTCTTGATTGAGCTTAGGAACCTTAACTGAAGCTTTGATTTTTGTCAGACTTATTTGTATTTGTGTGTTATCTGTATTCTCCTGGTGGTAGCAGCAACAGATCATATGTAGCAAAACTCACTCTATATTAAAGTTCTATAGGAACTGGAAATTAATTCAGTGGGAGAGAAAGCTGACCAAGTAAACAAAGCACTTGCCTTTTTTGACACATCCAGTTGTCCAGAATTCATCTTCATCTAAATGTACATCGCCTCCTATTGCTTCTTCCTCAGGTCCATATGCATGGCCCAGGATACCGCGAGGCCCATCAAAAGGGAAAAAGTCTCCATGCTCTGGCAAAGTACATACATGGTTTCAGCAGATGGTGGATCAGGTTAAGAAATCAAGTCACTTTCAAACTATTATTTGAACATTAATAAAACAACCCTTTAGATGTTTTGTTTCCTTTAGCTTGACTTTCTTGGTATTTCAAACTGCATGGCTGTGTCTACACATGAAAATAATCCAGGAGCAGTTTACTCTTGAGTAACTCTCCCAGGCACGTCTACAGATGCGGAGATGTGGGAGAAGATTGCTAGGGCTGGCACTGGGAGAGAAGGATCTTCTAGCACTGGCCTTATGACTGCGGAGCTAACAAAGGGAACTCCCTGCTGCCAGGGCAGGGGGACATTGTGCCTGCCTGGGTTCTGGTGGCAGAGCCCACTCTGGCAGCAGGCAGCTCCTGGGGCCAGGGAGAAATCTCCAGCCCTGTGCTTCCCAGCTGACTGGGAGCACATGTGCTCCTCAACAAGTGTGTACATGTGTGCTACTGCACAATTAATAATCTCAAGTAAATGTGCTGCTTGCATTTGCAGGTAGGAAATTTACTTATGATTAGAGCAAATTACTGCGCAGTAAGCATCTGCATGTGTACAGTAACTGGCTTTACCGTACCACAAGGTGTGTATAGATTTAATAGATTTTTAGGGACAGAAGGGACCTCAGTAGATCATCGAGTCTGACTCCCTTCCCTGGGCAGGAAAGAGTGCGGGGGTCAGATGACCCTAGCCAAGTGCTTTTCCAGTCTCCTTGTAAAGACCTCTAGGGTAGGGGAGAGCACCACATCCTTTGGAAGCCCATTACAGATTCTGGTAACTCTTACTATGAAGAAGTTCTTCCTGATGTCCAATCTACATCTGTTCTCTGTCAGTTTGTGGCTGTTGTTTCTAGTTACCCCAAGGGGCATCCTGGTAAACAGAGCATCTCCTATTCCTTGCTGCCCAAACCTCCCAATTTAAATTTGCAAATGAGCACAAGATCACCTCTCAGCCTTCTCTTGCAGAGGCTGAAGAGATCCAGGTCCCTCAATCTCTCCTCATAGGGCCTTACCTGCAGGCCCCTAACCATATGAGTAGCCCTCCTTTGGACCCTCTCAAGGTTATCCACATCCTTCTTGAAGTGTGATGCCCAAAACTGGGCACAGTACTCCAGCTATGGTCTTACCAATGCCACATAGAGGGGAAGTATCATTTCCTTAGCCCTGTTTGTGATTTACCTTCTAATGCATGATAGAGTGCAGTTAGCTTTACTTATCACTTCCTCACTTTGGTGACTCATGTTCATCTTGGAGTCTACTATGACTCTGAGATCCCTTTCTGCCGCTGTGCTACTTAGAAGGTCATCTCCCAGTCTGCATGTGTGTTGGTGATTCTTTCTCCCTAGGTGCAGCACTTCGCACTTATCTTTGTTAAACTGCATCCTGTTCTGTTCTGCCCACTTTTCCAACCTGTCCAACTTCACCTGAATCTGTTCCCTGCCCACCCGTGTGTATACTTTGCTGCATAATTTGGTGTTGTCTGCAAATTTGGACAAAGTGTTCTCCGTGCCCTCATCCAAGTCACTGATGAAGATATTGAACAGCATTGGTCCAAGGACCAAACCTTGGCCGATCCCACTGCCCACATCTTTCCAGGTCAATACCGACCCATCCACCACCACTCTCTGGCTGCATCCCATAAGCCAATTTGCCACCAACCTGACTGTAATCATTTGTGTCACAGCCGCTTAGTTTATTTATAAGAATGGGGTGAGACACTGTATTGAAGGCCTTTTTAAAATCCAAGTAAATGACATCTATCTCATCTCCTGCATCTAAGCATTTTGTGACCTGGTCATAAAAAGAAACAAGGATCTACCTGCTATGAATCCATGCTGGTTGCCCTTCAGCATTATTTTTTGTGCTGGACTCCCACAAATGCATTCCTTAATAATTTTTTCAAAGGTTTTCCCAAGGATAGAGGTGAGACTAACCAGCCTATAGTTACCCAGATCTTTCTTTCTCCCTTTCTTGAAAATAGGGACGACATTGGCTCTTTTCCAGCCATCTGGGACCTGTCATGAGTGCCATGAGTGCTCAAACAGTCTTGCCAGTGGTTCTGCTATGACACTGGCTAATTTCCTCAGCACCTGTGGATGAAAATTGTCTGGGCCTGCTGACTTAAACACATTCAGCCCTTCCAAGTGTCCCTTCACTAGGTCAGTGTGAACTGTTGGTGGGCTGGTGTCCCTCTTGTGCCTGTTGATAATCCAGCTGGGAGGTATGTCTTTATCGGTATTCAGGAATATGGATGCGAAAAACTCATTGAAGAGCTCTGCTTTGTTGCACCTATCTGTCACCAATTGCCCTAATCTGTCTTGTAGGGGTCCTATGTTGTTGTGCACCTTCTGTTTGCTTCCTATATACCTGAAGAAGGACTTTTACTTGTCTTTAATTTTTGGTGCCAGCTTGAGTTCCATTACTGCTTTGGCCTTTCTAACTCCCTGGAAGTGCAAGCCAAGTAGGTATACTCCTCCTTGGTGGCTACCCATTTCTTCCACAGTCTGTATGCTTCTTTTTTTTTTTTTTTTTTTCCCTAGGCTTTCCTGGATTCCCCTGTTCAGCCAATAGGGTTTCTTGGCCCCTCTGCCTCCCTTTATGTGTCATGGGATTGTTCCCTTCTGTGCCTGAAGGATTGTTCCCTTGAGGAATGACCACCCTTCCTGGATTCCCATCTCGACAATGCTCCTGTCCTTCAGTGCCTCTCTTACTAATCTCCTGAGCTCAGTGAAGTTTCCCTTTCTGAAGTCTAGCACCTCTGCCTTACTGGTTATCTTTCCCACCTTCTACTGGATAGTGAATTCCACAATTGGTGGTCACTATCCACGAGGTTACCCTGTATCTGCAGATTGCCCACTAGGTCATCCCCTGTAGCAAACACCAGCATGGGTTCATCAGCGGCAGGTCCTGTCAGACCAACCTGGTGGCCTTTTACGACCAGGTCACTAAATCATTGGATGCAGGCGTGGCAGTGGATATAGTTTTTCTAGACTTCAGGAAGGCTTTTGACACTGTCTCTCACCCCATTCTCATTAGGAAGCTGGGGGACTGTGGCCTAGACACCCATTCAGTCCAGTGGGTCGCCAACTGGTTAGAGAGTCGCACCCAGAGGGTGGTAGTGGATGGGTCCTTCTCGACCTGGAAGGACGTGGGAAGTGGGGTCCCACAGGGCTCGGTCCTTGGGCCTGCACTGTTCAATATCTTCATCAGTGATTTGGACGAGGGGGTGCAA